ACTCTTCTCCAGCACCACAGCTCAAAGGCATCAATTCTCCTTCTATCCTCCCTAGTCATTGTCCAACTCTTAATAAAATATCTACTATCCCCATATGTCAGCAACTCAGTGCCAGATATTTTTAAGAAGTGAGTGTAGAAAGATTAAGAGCAAATCAAACCACACTCACGCCTTCATGGAGTACTATGTGTCCCATGTTGATGCTGCTGCTGTGTGCCTTTGAGCAGATTCTACACAGCAACCTGTGTGACTGACCCAAGGATTTCTTGGCTATAATCCTTACCCAAACTGATGTTAAAAGTTCTCAAGCAAGTAGTACAAAAGTGTGCTTTAAGATAAAAATATACGTCCTTTTGCATGATTTCTATAAGGCAAGTAAGGGTTACTACAGTTTTTCAAATTATGTTTTCTTCTCATTTTCTTTTTAATGCCATTTAAGAAACAAACAAATGAGCTTTCAAAAGAATTTTCTATAACTACTATATTTAAGAATCCTTTGGTCAATAACTTAAGTAATACAATTAGGCTGCTAAAAACCAATGCCTATTTTATAGAAAGAAGATAAAAGAGGAGAGTCTCACTGATCAAACACTAAATTTTCAGAACATGTAACTAACGTTCTTTTTGAAAAGATGATTTTATACTAAATACAAATCCCCTTGGCTCAGATGTGGAACTATTACCTTGTAGTTTATAAATCCGGCCATAGTCTTAATTTCCAGAATATTCGTTTCATGGGCTCTCAATTCATGTACAAGATTATAGGCGGTCCTATAATTCCTGATGTAAACATAAAGAAGGGTGTTACAATATTAATGAATCTGAAGATTCCCAAAATAAAATTATTACAAGTAACAAGAACATTACTCAACATTTCTTAGCAACAAATAGGTATACATTTTAATCTTTGATTTCCAAAAAAGATGTAAAAAGAGTAATAATACATCTGAGAATCAATGACTTCTCACTATGTATAGAATCTCATGACACATGCATTGTTTTCTCTATTATTAAGACATACTGATAAGAAACAAGTAAACAAGTTTTAAAAAAGCTGTATTATCAAGAATTGTAATGAAAAATTCAACTTCTATTAACAAGAGGTATTAAGTGCCATTACTTGCTTTTCTAGTAACGTTTCTACAGAAAACAGAAAATAAAGAAGTTGATATTAAGACAAAACACAGACCAACAACTCTTTAACCCTAAGTCTCACTCCAAGGCAAAGGTTATCACTGATCTCAGGTATACACTGAAAAAGAAGAAAAAAATGTCCTTAGTGCAAAAGGACAGGGGCACAGGACACAGAAGCTGCAATGGTGGGCAGTAATGGACACCTCACTAGCAGCCTTGCTGACTATGCTTAAGATGGAAAGTTACAGGAAAATCTCAAAACATTGTTCTCCACAGAAAAATTTTTACTCTTAGCCAGTTAATTTTTTCCAAAATTCTTTTCAAACAGAACTAGCATTAAAGATTTCTAAATTTAAAACAAAACAAAGCAAAAAATCCAAACCTAATACTGTCAAATTAATTCTAACTCATAATGACTCTACTGGACAGCCATCTCTTTGGTCAATGGCACCAATGACAAGCTCAAATCTCCAACTTTTAGTTAGCAGTCAATTA